TGAACATTAAAGCATGTCAACATATTCTGTTACACCAAATACACAAAATAATGATCTTTAAAAAAGCATCATATGACCCCTTTAAGGTTTTGAGGAAAACATTCCATATGGAGAAAAATCCTGGAATGTTTTCCTCAAAAACCTTAATTTCTTTTAGACTGAAGATAGAAAGACATGAACATCTTGGATGACATGGGGGTGAGAAAATTATCAGGAAATTTTTATTCTGGAAGTGAACTAATCCTTTAACCCCCAGCCATAATTTAGGACAAATAACAGACTTCCATGAAATTTGTCTCAGCAACACACTGAAAATATTTCAATAATGCTATGTGGTGACAATTATATAAAACATTTCTTGAACTAAGGCAACAAAAGTGAATATTTTAGGAACAAAATCACAATGTGTGTTCACATTTTGTGAAAGGTTCACTGAGACTGCTGAATCTTCAGCTGCCATAACTCCAGTCTTCAGTGTCACATGATCTTTCAGAAATCATTCTAATATGCTGATTTGGTACTCAAGAAACATCTTTTACTATTATAAAAATGTTTCGGATTCTTTCATTAATAGAAATTATTTGAAATGGATAGAAATTTGACATGGATTTTTTTTTGTAACAATGTAAAAGTCTTTACTGTCACTTTTGATCAATTTAATGCATACTTGCTGAATAAAAGTATTTTATTCAATGTAGTATATTATTTTTTTAATAATATAAAACCAACATTTTTAACAAATGTGTATATGGCAGACTTCAGTTATCATGATACACAAAAATCTATTATATTATTATATATAATATTATATACAATATAAAACTTAAATATTATAAAAACATCACATCACAAAACATGTTGCTGTCAAAGTATAATTTGAAACCTTTATTTCTTGTCCTCACCTAGCAGTGTGGCCAGTGTGCGCATGTCCTTCTCCATGAGGCTGTAAACTTCTTCCTTAGTAAAGCAGCTAATGCCGTGACAGTACATCTCCCTCTTTACAATGCCACCAGTCAGCTGACACAGGATCCATTTCAGCAGGTCACTGAGGGGCCCGGGAAGGTCCAACATCCTTTGAGTCTCTTGAACATTATCCACCCACTGACAGTATGCAATGGTCCTGTTGTGACAAGAAAGATATAAATAAATTAGGTGATGATTAATTTCCTAAAGTACAGTATAAAGAGCCATATTTGTGTGGGGAAAAGTCATAAAAAGTCACTTTTAAAGACAACACATCAATAATATTAATAATACTAATTATTATTATTATCATTATTATTGTTTGGCTTTTATATTGTCACTTTTCTCAAGCAAGCAATGTTGCAAGGAGAAATGAGAGGAACAATTCCCAAAATGCAGATGCACAATTTTATTGATTCCCAACCTGAAGTCTTTAGAAAGCAGATATATTAAGTGCATAACAACATCCATAAAATATATCAGAACTTTACTGTGCTGTAATATTTATGCATGTACTGCATATTTAACTTGCATAATACATTTATTTTGCAGCTGCTTTTATCAAAAACAACTTACAAATGAGGAAATCTTCAACAAATAGTTGATCGTCAACACAAGCAATTCATCATAATATGGGCTTGTTTATAATTCAGTTTATTACAACTGTGTGCAGCTTTAGTATCACACAGAAAACAAGCTCAGTTTGGCCTTTGAGATTAAACTTTGAATTAATTCTCTGCTCTGTGATTATCTGAATCAAATTAATTAAAGCCGTCTTCTAATTAACGTCTTTGCACAGTAGGCAATGCATTAATAAAAACCATTCATCTAAAATGGCTTCAAGCGCTCTCTGGGTTCATGGCTTTGAACTCACCACTTGGAATTTACAATCAGCCTTTCATCAAGTTTAAATCAGATTCAAAGCTGCAGTGTGTAAATTCTGCACCAAAAATAACTACTGAATTCAAACACTGCATTGACCACCATGGCGTTTTAATTTGTAAGGACATAATACATGTATTTCATGAAACAGTATTGTAGGCTACACGCTTTATTTACATTTCTGCCAACATTTCTGAGTCTTAATCTGATATTACTAGGTCTTTTTACTGAAATGGGTCAAGTAAGTTAGGAGTTTCATTTCCTGATCAAAACCCACCAGTGTCATAATCCAGATTTCCTGCCTATTTCCCAGCACGACATCCATCACTCTTATTTATAGCTCAATGAATGTTCTTGCTCAGCAAGCTCTTCGGCTGACATAAACAACACTACTCTGGAGTGGACACAGATATTCAAACCCATGAATTATTCAATCAATAGCCATGTGGGATGCTATATATATATAGCACAGTGTAAAGCACTTCTAGGCAATGTGAAGACAGAATGCACGAGAAACAGAAACAAACAAAAAATTTATTTCATTTGAAGGAATATAATAATGCAAAATGAATGAAGATGAGGAAATTAGGTTGAGACTGGTTATACAATTGCTTTTTTCCCAGTGTAATGCTTACACTATGATACCCAATGTTTCAGCAGGAGTCATTCATTTTATAAATCTGCTGCCTGCACTGCAAATCATGTCAGCAGTCCACTCCAAGCTTGTCATGCATATTTTTATTTAAATGGTTTATGATTATGGACTCATACAACTATTCATTCACGTTTATTATGCAAATAAATTGGTTGTATGGCTATATTTCAAGATAAATTTAAATCTTAAAGAATAATTAGGAATAAAACGTTTTACATATTTCTCATAAAAAGAGACCCAGTATTTGACGCATAGTTAAAAGCAGTCATGTGTATGGCAGATTTGTACTGCTGGACAGGATGCACGAAAGTACAAAATAGGTCTAAAATTCAGACAAATAAATCATTACTATTGAATAAAAGACATGGTATATTCATAATTTGGGAGTTAAAAAATAACATTTAATGTATGCATGTTTATATTTATTTATTTGTTTGTTGATCAATGTGATGATCAATCTTGATTTTTGTATATTTATGCCTTTGCTTCAAAACATTAAGAAACTGTTCACACAGAAATGTTGAAATTCTGTGAATGGATGGCTTCAGTTCAAAGTAACAGCTGATAAAAACATCACAATAATCCATAAGTAATCCACGTGATTCCAGTCCATCAATTAGCATCTTGTGAAGTGAAAAGCTACATGTTTGTAAGAAACAAATCCATTGTTAAGGAATTTTAACTTAAAATAATTACTTTTGTCCAAAATACGAGTCCATAATCCATAATAACACTTCCTCCAGTGAAAATGTCCAACCCCTGTTGTCCTCTCACATCAAAATCCACCAACATATTTTTTTGGACTGTTTTCACTTATAAACAGTGCTTTATCTGTGCATATTTCTCTCCTGATTCAGATGAGACGACTTTTCACTGGAGAAAGCAATATTAGAAAGCAATACTTTTTGAAGTGAAAAATCTCTTAATGATGAGTTTGTTTAGCACAAACACACAACTTTTCACTTCACAATGGACTGGAGTCATGTGAAGTCATGTGAATTATTGTGATGCTTTTATCAGCTGTTTGGTCTCTTATCCCGACGGCACCCATTCACTGAAGCTTCTACAAATGTGTTATGATAAAGAAACAAACTCATATACATCTTGGACGGCCTGAGGGTGTGCACATTTTGAGCAAATTTTTATTTTTGAGTGAACTATTCCCTTAAGGTTTTAAAAACTCCAAAACCAAATTTAAAAACTGCAGAACTCTACTGACTCCAGTAGCTGCATATTTGATCCTCACATTTCAGCGATGGCTCAGCAGCAGAAGAGTGACTCATTCAGAATGCCAGCACATGACTCACCAGTACAAGTGTTCCTCCACCATGGTGGTGATGGCCCGCGCTACCGCCTGCTCCTGAGCGCTCAGACTCTTGTTCAGGCTCACACCAAGTTTCTCCTCCAGAAAGTCAATTATAAATTCATTTCCGCACACCTGCTCGTAATTATACTCAACCCAAGGCATCTTGCCCTGGGAAGAGAGGCTTCCATCAAAGTAATTCTGTAAAAAAGGAAGCATATTGAGGGTGAAAAGATGTAAACCATAATAAAATTTTATTTGAGCAATTTATAATCATAATAATAACAATATGTATTATTATTGTTGTTAATAAGTATTATTATTATTGATTTAAAAAATCTAGAGCATCTAGATGTGAACTGAAAAAAACGTAATCCTATTTTCTAAGGGCTTTCATGAATTTCATTGGCATTTCAATAGCACGTAACCACTGATCAAAGGAAATGGACTCCAAAATCCAAACTGCTTCTTTATGCATACTTGATAGGGCAGATCAACCATGCGCAGATAGGTCTCCATTTTCAGGCAGAAAGGTGACAGGCTTGGAACCCCGTTTTTTGGCCTGGAGAACTGGTGAAGGATGATGGCATCTTTAGAATCCAACTGTTGCTCTTTCCTGTGAGGAGATCAAACAGTAGATTGTAAAATCAGACGATCTTTTTGAGATTTCATTATGAACAGATCTATAATAGGTCACTCAAAACAATGATGGTTAAACATCACAGTCAGACATATGGAACAAAATTTTTGCATTTATTTAGCATGCATTTTTTATCTAAAAAACAGTTTATTCATGGTATGCATTTTATCAGCATATTTGTTCTTTGGGAGAATCCATCACCCTGGCATTGCAATGCATCTGATCATGCTTTACCAGTTGAAGTACAGAAAGATTTTACAGGAACATAACTTCGCTTTAAAAGCTGCTATTTAGCTTTTTACCCCAAAATCACGTGGAGTGCAGGGTAAAAGGCATTATACTATAATTATGAGGAAACAGCAGGATGTGTGTGAGAGGACAAAGGCAGGTCTTATTTCACAAGCAACAACTACAAGTCCAGGCTTGAGCTTTCAAAACAACACAACCCAGTCCTGTTCTGATCACACACAATTACAGAAACAAGAGGCTCCAAACTTCACATTCTTCAAACTAAATACGTATTCTAAAAAATATGATTTGTATAACCAAACTATCTGTATCAGGTGGGCTATTAAGTGTGCTTCTGAATCAGGGTGTTTTGTGGGGGAGGGAAAAAACATTATTTAGATTTGCTGAAATCCCTTCATATAGATCAGAAAGATTAGCACAGATTCCGAGGTGAAACAGGACAAATCCGTCCACATTTAGCCATTATTAATAAAAAGCAATCATGATTTGTACTCTCAAAGCCCCAATAACAAATACAGATATCCACATAATAACACAGTTTAAGTGTTTAGTAGACCCTGTCAGGGCAAACATGTTTAATATGATATACAAAAATAGAAATTTAGGTATCACTTAACTTACAGCCTTTATGTATAATGCATTACATAATAATTATTAGGATATATCAGGATACTGTATTTTAAAGTTAATTTTGTAAAATCCAAATAAGCTTTACAATCTTTATTAGAAAGTGTTTAAACAATGTTTTTCATGATTATTTGATGAACCATAAACAATTATTAATATAATTAGTTCATGTTTTATTAATTATGGATATTGTTCATATGAATTAATAAAAAATACTGCAATGTCTGTAATGTAAGAGGCCTAAGGGAGTGCTACAGGAAGACAGGAAGGGTAGCTAATTGTCCTTGTAATGCCAGACCATGTATCAACATATGTACCCCCAGATGTGTTTGAGAACTTGCAAGTGCCTTGATGAAAGAGTGAAGTAACATCTCACAGCAAGATCTGGCAAACCCTTCCAAGTCCATTAAGATGAGTTGCACTGTAGTATTTAAAGCAGCTGGTGGACACCACATAATGACTGCTACTTTTGATATTGACCCTCGCTCTGTTCAGAAACTCATTATTCCATTTCTGTTCATCAAATGTCAGTGAAATTTGTTGTTATTTGTTCCGTAATTTGTTCAGTTGTTGAATCTTTTTATGTTCATACAAATATTGTGTGTGTGTGCGTGTGTAAAATGGCATGTGTTTTAATCCATAATACTAAAGTATTAAAGTATTATGCATTAAAACAAATGACAAACAACCAATTACTGATGTAACAAGGAATCTTATAAAAATATATTTTAATGCATTACAACATACATTATAAATACCTTCATAATGCATTACACAAAGTGTAACCGAAATTTCTAATAGAAACAGAAATTTCCTATAGATTTCTTCCTTTGCATAATGATCACTGGTTACATAACATGACTTCAGAGTATTAGACCTATGGGTCTGTTATTAATCATGACTGTAACATTAGGATTCTCCTGACAAAATTAAGATCACAGGAAGTTTAAATTCTTAATTGTTTGGTGGTATGTAATTCTTAGAGTTAACATACTGCCACAGTTTATCAACCAAGCCAAAACAACAAACTCCAGAACCAATTTTCACAATTAACATAAAAAAGGCCATTCAGATCTATAAGACTCCACTCACCCAGATTTCAGATGCTTCCATGTGGCTCTAAAATGAACATACTGACACCCTAACAACGTCTATTTATGTTTAATCTTTATCTAATGGCACACATTTGTGTTCAACAAAGACTTATTGCCATTTTATGGCAAACTAAATAGATTAAAAAAAAAGTGTAAAGCATCAGTTTGACCCCAAAGCTGCAGAGCTCAATACTCAAACATGACGCTGTCCACGGCGTATGGTGCTGAAATCCACCCAGTGAAGTGTTAAACGAGGATGAGAACGTCTGCTGCCTGTAAAACAGTCTACAGGTCAAAACAAATAGAAGTTATTTAAGACTTCTAACAGCTTTGCAGTCCCCCTTGAATTTTTAGTAGGTAACGGCCTGCAGATGAGCCAAGAAAGGTCGCTCGTTCGACACACTCATGTACATCGCGCTCCAGTGAAGTAAACATTCATGATCACGTGCCGCATTTATAAGCCTACATTAAAAACGAATGTATTATACTTCTGTGCGAGTGTAAACAAGGCAAATTCCAGCTGAGTTTTGATGACAGGGCGTTTTCACATGCTCCCGTGCGGCCACACACCGCATGTGCATGTAATTTAGAAAACGTGACTTGATGCAGCCTAGCGGACACGCGAGCTTCAAGGAAAACACAAGAACCTCACTGGCACTGTCAAGCGGACCTATATTTACATCTGCCCCTAGACAGGTTCAAATGTATAATGCATGTGTGATGAAATATTATAAACAATGACAATAGGTCATTTCATTATATTATCTGGCTTCACAACAGGCCACAGCACTGACCTGATGGAGAGCAGCTCGTGCAGCAGATACGCAGCCGCAGCCAGCAGGGCACCTCCGGTGATGTAAAGCGTCTTCCTCCACCAGGAATCCGATACCAATCCCGACATGATCCCGCCGAAATCCTGCGCAGGGACGGCTACTATGTACCCATAAAATAAGTGACGCTCATCAGAGCCACACAACCCGAAGGACGGGCTTTGATTCCGGCCAAGATCAACCACGAACGACCGGGAGGAGGCGAAACCAGCGACCCAGTACATTCTCTCTCTCCCCCCGCTTCCTCCAACGAATCCTGCGCCACTTCATTTATCCATATAAATACGGACAACTGTTACATGTGTTACGTCGGTCTCGTAAAGCGAAAGAAGAGCATTTTAACGGTGTTTGGCTCCTGCACGCAGCTCCGCATCCTCCTTTGTTGCTGTGCTGGAGCTGAGTGACGTCACGACGCATGGACGCGAGTTCATTTACGCTTTTCACTAAACTACAGCCGCAGATGTAAACATAATTTGAAGGACATTAGTTTTCAGTAAGAAATAGAAATAAATGTGTATATAATATGTGTGTGTACACATTAATTTACCCTTAAGTTTCATTATGAAATTTGAGTTATTGTAAAGACAAGAATTTGAGATAGATATATATATACACTTCTTGCAATTTTATTTCTTTTTCCAATTATATTTGGAAGTTAGCATGACAACAGACTAGCGCTTGATTGTTGTGACTAAGGATGTACTCAAAAATAGAGAATTGTTCAGCCTGAATAAAACACCCTCTCAGTTGACACAATTGTTTTTTATTTTATTCAGTACCTACACGTTTTAAGTGCCAAGTCAAAAATCATTATATAATTCTCTTTGTCTGTTTGACCTCTGACATGAACCAACCAACACCACAAAACACGCAAGTAATTGAATCTTTGAAGTGGCATGTAGCTGCGGCATGTTGAGTGGATCAAAAGTGCTTCTCAAATTAACAAGAGCTTTACAAAATATGTCCTATGTATCATGCTTCCGAAAAAAAAAAAAAAAACGTTTTATTAAGGAATACAATGCAAATAATAATTATTACTGGTTCAGCAATTCTTCACTATGCAACATATTTTGAAATATTGAGTGTGTTTTTTCTCTGTTCTGAATCAGGTGGAGTTTGTTTGATAGTTTCAATATTATAATAGCTCAACTGTAATTTGTAGCTCGACCTGGTTCATCCAGATTCTCACTCTCAGGCCAGACCTGTCCGGGCTGGGGTTCTTCTTTGCGTTTAATTGCATGCAATGCATAGTTGATGGCCGTGCTCTGCTGCCAGCTCCACGCTCCTGTGAGAGGATTGTACATCATGCCTCTGATAGCCTCCACGTAGAAACCAACTGGGATACAGTGAGACAGGAAAATGGTAAAAGCTAGTAACAAATTCTGCTGTACAATAAACACTGTAGCAGTGGAACAATAGATCATACTGAACAATTATGTAATGTATACCAGGCTTTTCCAACAACAGCTGTTATTAAAACAGCAAAGGAGATCCATGATAGAGGAGGGGTAATACCCAGAAACTGATCAATGAATGATAGTGAGAGAGAAATGGAAGTCAGAGACGACACTCACAAGACTCCAGAAGTCGTTCCAGATCCTCTGGGCTTACGAACTTCTCCCAGTCATGAGTGCCACTCGGAACAATCCTTAACAGCTGCTCTGCTGCCACAATCCCGAAAACGTAGGACAAGTTGGTTTTGTTAATAGTGGTGATGAAAAGAGAGCCACCAGGCTGAAAAAAAAATTACATACATTACATAAAAATATTACAAATTTTAATTGCATGTTATACATTAAGACATTAGTATTTTAACACTTTGATATTTAATAGAATTTTATGTACACTGCAGTGCTTTAAGGGTTCCCTCCTTGAATTAAATGTTATTATATTTAAAATAAAATAACATCTTAAAAATGTGTATAATAAATATCTGTTAATATTTATATTACATAAAATTACAAATATTTTATACATTAAGATCTTATTTTGAGATATATTTTAATATCATTTTATATTTATTTTATACAATTTTATTCTATATTTTAATTATTCAGTGTTTTTTATGACTTCTAACTAATAAACCATCTAAAAAGAAACTGAAAAGAAAAGAAAGCAAAACAGAAACAGGCTAATGAAAGTGCCTGGATGACAAAGCATTAGGAGAGATTATGGGGATTTGGAGTAACTCTTCTTGTCCTCTGACACACTGACCTGGGAGATTAAATCAGTGCGTTCAGTTCTTTTTGCTGTGAATCCCACTGTTACTTTTGTGCTATTGTCATTGTTTCAGATGTCAGCGATGTTGGGACACACCTTCAACACCTGCTGGCAACAGCTGGCAAAGGCGTCCAGGTCAGCCAGATGTTCCACCACCTCAGATGCCACTACAGCATGAAATCCCTCTAATTCCTCTTCGGCAAGCTCCTCCAGGGTGCAGGCCTGATAGCGAACTCTCTCCCGTAAATCTGGATCATAGGAGGAGTGCAGCTCTGCGGTCCGCACACTGTCCTCCACTGGGTCGATTCCCCGGACGTCTGCTCCTAACCTCCCTAGTGGCTGAGAAAGGTTAGTGCTACTTTGTTTTTTGATACCCATGTTTGGCAGCATCCACAGCTTAAACTAAACCTTAAACTTATTTTTAGTAACTGAAAGAAAACTGACAAAATAAAATATGAATATTAAATGAAAAACTTAAACCCAAATTGAAATGTTGACTAGGCAAATGGACTGAAATACATTTAATTTAAAGTACTAAAATAACTAAAATAAAAATGTAAGATGAACAGAAATATTTAAATAATAATAAAAATAAAAACGACAAAAACAGATAACAAAATTACTTAAACCTAAACTAACATTAAAATGAAAACTAAAAATATAAAAATGAAGCCAATATAAAATGTAAATAATATATGAAACATTATATAAAAAATGTCAATAAATACTATAATAGCATATAAATAATACTAAAATAACACAGGACAGAACCTATCCATTTTTCATCGTTGATTTTGGATTTGCATTAGATTTTATAGTAAATATATTTTAATAGAAAATAAAATTAGGATATTACTAAAAATGTAGCTGTTCAGTTTCTATGTAAAATTTCTTTAGGTGTAAAAACACAGTAGCACAACAACAACAACAAAATCTGCTCATCGCCCTCTGTTGGTCATTCAGGGCAGAAATTCAGTAATAGAGCTGCAGTAAACCAGTAAATTGTCTGTTCCACTGATGTGTGCTAAAGGGGATCTTCTGGCATAAGCTTTTGCATGACAGAACACTCAAGAGACATCATGCTCACCAAAACACAACAATGACATATCAGGCAGAGAGACAGCCTGGAGAAAGTGTGTTTACCTCAGTGGAGGAAACCACTGGGCGTGAAGCTCTCTGTTTTAATCGTGTAGTTCAGTTGGTAAGTTTTCAGTTACCATTTGTGGCCAGCTAAAAATAATCATGCATACTATCAAACCTGACAAACATGAGACCAGCTTTTTATTGCTACCACACCCAGACCAGATCTCTCAAATGATGGAATATCTTACAGTAAACTGAAAAACTTTACTTGCACTAACTAGTGCAACTAGCTCAATACTTGTGTCATTACAGAATCATTTTCATAATTAACAGTAGTTACCTCACTCAGCACGCCTCCACCACAGCCAACATCCAGAATTCTCAGTCCAGCCAGAGGTTTGCCCAACTGTCGGATGCCGTGCACATTCAACAAATTATCCCTGAAAATGGAGTCAAAGGTCACAAAATGAGGTTAATGCACTAGGCTAGAAAACATATCACCTCTAGTCATGCAGAATTTTGAAACGATGTACATCAGACTGACGTGAAACAGAAAATCCGAAGCTAATGACAGCATGCAATTCCACAATGTGCTTCCTGAGTCACAAGCACGTCTTACTGCTAAGTCCCTCTGGCTAGACACATGCCTCTGACATCCTGAAGCAATCATACATCCTCAATGCTCGTCTCGCTGAACTCAAAGGCAACATCCTCACATTCTTCCTCAAAAGCTTGGACAGACCATGCAGACCAAAGCCGCCTAAGGTGCTCACTGCCAATCCTGTTAACTCAGCCCATCTCTGCCAACAAACCCCAACGTCTAGAAAACACACATTCCTCAAGTACAACATAATAACCAGCAACAGCACAGAGGTTCCTCATTTAAACAAGCCCCCAGAGCACTGCCACATATGCTGTATACTACAACTGATCCCGTGTTCAGGGAAGGGGAAGAAATTGTGCGCTGAATGATTCCAGGAGGCGAGGGGAAAGGCTTACAATGACAATCACACAATATCCATCCTGACTCTCATGGAAACGGCTGCTGAGAGAAGAATCTGATCAGATAAGATTATTATCATGAAGACATTTTCAAATAAATTAATTAGAAATTATATTCAAAGAAGGATGCATTAAATTGATCAAAAGTCTGTTTCAAATAAATGCTGTTCTTTCAAACTTTCTATTCATCAAAGAATCCTGGGGAGAAATATGCATACAAATTCAGCTCTACAATCATAGGAATAAATTACACTAATACACAAATACATAAAAATAGAAAACAATTAGTTTAAACTGTAATAATATTTCCCAGTTTTATTTTAATTTCCCAATGTAATTTTGATCAATTAAATGCAGCTTTACTGAGCATAATCTCTCAAAAACATTTTAAAATTATTACCAACCCAAAACATTAAATACTTTTAGAAAGTTGTATGTGTGACATGCTATACTCCATATAGCATTATTCTAGGATGCACCAATATTAAATATATAGCCAGAACGAACAATTATTATGCTATAGCCAAAATAGCTGATATATATATATATATATATATATATAATACATTTGCAATGAAAGACAAAACTTTTGAGATTGTGTGATTACATTTTATTTTTAGATAAAGAGAATGCACAGTTAAGTGTGTAATCAACCAATAAATCAAAAGATTTTAATATTTGGCTAAAAACTGATATTGTTCATCCCTAATTAAAACAGTATTTTGTTCATTCATACATTTTTTAATTAAGCTATTATGTATACAACATTTATGGCATCACATTTACTAGCAGTACTTTTAAAAATGAATGTGTCACGTGGAAACTAAGACCTTTTAAAACGATCTAGTAAAGGCAAAAAAGGTGAAGAAAAATGGAGATACATCCATAAAAATAAGTTAAAATATTATTGATGTTTAAAAATACTATAGTGATACCATGGCACGTTTATCAGTAAAATAGAGGGTAGATGTACACACCGTATGAAAGGCACTCTCAGGTCATTCATGGAGTGCAGGGCAGCAAACTCTCCCTGTAAGTCCCACCACTTGCTCGCCATGGCCTGAAACTTCCGCACTTCGGCGGGGTCGAGAGTAGTCTGG